AATAAACAGCTGTTTTACTAAATTCTTCTGAGGTGATCGTATTGTGGCCTCTGTATCGTGATACGTATCGTATCGTGATGTGTATCGTGACTTTGCTGGTGATACACAGCCCTAACACACACGCCTTTGTTTTCATTGTGCTTTGCTAGCATGTGCCATTTTCTCAAGTCTGAATCCTCCATACAGCAGTCAAAACACTGGCAGCTTGAGAAAGTGATGTCATAATTATGTTTATCTCTCGGCTCATGCCAGACGCCAGCCATGAGGTCACAACAACAGGAATTGTTGCCATCAAACTCATATCAGAGAATAATGCGAACAAATATTTTACATTAAATGTTTAACAAATAAAGCTGCAAGAATATATATGATTATATATAATGTATATTTAAAAAATAAATATAAATGTATTAAAATATTTTTAAAAAACATTTGAAATTAAAAAACAAAACAAATATTTTTGTTTCTGGTCTTATTATTTATTAGTGCACATTATTCTAAAGAAGAAATCATTCTTTAAAAAGGTTATATATATATATATATATATATATATATACTGAACAAATTTTGTATGTATGTATGTATGTATGTATGTATGTATGTATGTATGTATGTATGTATGTATGTATGTATGTATGTATATGTATGTATGTATATATATATGTATGTGTATATATATGTATTTATGTGTATATATATATATGTATGTGTGTATGTATGTATATATGTATGTATGTATGCATATGTATGTAGAGCACTTCTCCTTTGCTGAGATAATCCATCCTGGGCTGGTGTGGTTACACGTGGTCTGCGGTTGTGAGGCTGGTTGGATGTACTGCCAAATTCTCTGAAACGTCTTTGGAGACGGCTTATGGTAGAGAAATGAACATTCAATTCACGGGCAACAGCTCTGGTGGACATTCCTGCAGTCAGCATGCCAATTGCACGCTCCCTTAAAACTTGCGACATCTGCGGCATTGTGCTGTGTGATAAAACTGCACATTTTAGAGTGGCCTTTTATTGTGGCCAGCCTAAGGCACACCTGTGCAATAATCATGCTGTCTAATCAGCATCTTGATATGCCACACCTGTGAGGTGGATGGATTATCTCGGCAAAGGAGAAGTGCTCACTAACACAGATTTAGACAGATTTGTGAACAATATTTGAGAGAAATAGGCCTTTTGTGTACATAGAAAAAGTCTTAGATCTTTGGGTTCAGCTCATGAAAAATGGGGGAAAAAACAAAAGTGTTGCGTTTACAATTTTGTTGTATGTATGCATGTATGTATGTATGTATGTATATGTATGTATGTATATCTTATATGGACAGTTCATTTTTAATTTACATTATTTTTAATCAAATCAAAAATTGTGTTCCTGATCTGGTTGTAAATAATTCATAAGTGCACATGTAATATATATGAGAAGCAGTTTTATTTGTTTTTTTAACACCAATGTTTAAAATTGATTTTATATGGACAATTATGTTGAATGACATCAAAAATCAAAAAGTTGTTATATTTACTTAACGTTTTTTGGTCTTATTGCAAATTATTCATAAGCGCATGAAGTGTTTGTTTTCATAAACTAAAAAAAACTGATTTTAAATCTAAGTGACTCAACAGTGCATGCATGTTGTAAAGAATAAAAGGTTTCATCATTTTTTAGCAAAATTTCATATTTTTTTCTGCCTGACACATTTCCTGCTGTTGTAACCAAGGTGAAGTAAATCAAATTAACCACAAATATCACAGGCTCTTTTCACAATCCAATCAAATGCGATGTCTTGGGTACGAGTATGATGGCCCTGACAGGGAATTATGTAGTCTTTTACATTGTATTATGCAGGATTTGGTGAGACCCCTATAACCTCTGGCTGTACACAAGGTTCAGCTAAGCTCGTGTGAACTCATTAGGGAACATTATCTGAGACCAACGAACCTCAAAATATCTCCAACAATGGAGCTAATCACAAACCAGAGTGCCGAGTTCTCTTTCTCCGAGCCTGGTTTAATGGCTCGGGGTGGCGCACGCTAGTTCCTCTTTTCCCATTTCACACACTAGCCGAATTTTACCCCCACAAGAGCGATGAGTTTTCAAGCCAATGTGCTTTCTGAGATAACAGAGATACTACCGACGGAAGCAATGGCACGAAAGAGCGTCCATTTTCCCACACACAAAATAGTAGATAAATGGTTAGCAGTGCTCAGAAATTTCCCAGATTCTAAAATGAACAAAAGACCCCCATTTTCAGCACATACATACTCATTAAACACACATATAGAGGCCATGTCATGACTTCAGGAGAGATTTTATGCCTGCCGTGTCTTACTATTATGTAAAATTAGGTGGGGGAGAGAACAGGAAGATGAAAGGGTTTGGGGGAAATTATCCTTGCGCCAAACTCATCCACTGTCTAATTACAGTAACATGCTTTCTTCATGGGAGAGTGTTACATGAACCTCTCTCTCTCTCTCTCTCTCTCTCTGTTGAGTGCTTAGAATAGGAACAACTGCATATGTGCCAAGGCTGGAACCCAGATTTGGATGAATCCATAATTCTCTGAATCAGGAGGTGTCACACACACAGGAAACCCCATTAAAAAACCTCATGTGTAAATAAGAAAAAAAAGAACCAAAGAGGAAAAAAATGACAAGAAATATAAAAAAAATGATAGCCAAATTTATGCTGTGATATTTCCACACAATTTAAGCTTTTAATGTGTTGTTAATAATCATCACTTTGTCATATGGATCTTTAACTTGCATATTTGCATTACTAATTCATATTACCGTAATTCATAAGAAACATGAAAATATAAAGTATCTTGAGTTATGAAAAATCTTGAGGTAATACCACTCTTGTTAAACTGTTTTGCTGCTCTCAAAATGCTGCAGGTTGCATTTATCAATTGTTTTCACAGTTATGTTGGAAAACAGTATATTCCCAGTAGTCTTACACAAGTTTGAAATTTGTACCAACTTCACAAGCATGTTAAATAAATTGAAATTCAAATGTAAATTTCATGTTGATGTAAAACAGCCGCCATGTAGGCTACACCTGTGCCGGCACATGCTATATTAATACCAAAGTCATGCCACTCGGCGGCCATCTTTGAAACGCCTCTCAGGCACGGGGAGACATCAAATTCTCCGAAACTGTTTACCAAGCTTATGATTACATTTCATATTTGAAATCACCAATGAAATCTGACAACAACGGTCTCATAAATGTTCCTGAGCGCACGTCTCAGAACGCTGACTGTTTCTATAGCAACCGGGACTTCTAACGGCAGCTGCAGTGACGCGCTGACTTTACCGATTAGGGATTGGCTCTTTTACTCAGAAGGCGGGGCTTCGTTCGATAGAGAGGCCATATTGAGTGTTGCATTTTTCCCCATTCAAAACAAATACGAGTGACACGTCTAGGGTATTCTATAGTCTTTGTTCATATGCACATTCATGTAATGTTATATATTACCCACTATCAGTCTATGTACGTGGCCCTCTAGCAGTCGAACTATAAAACTGCAAGTTACTTGCGGAGAAACATTGGTTAAGAAATTACATGCACGCACTTCTGCTTGTGTGTACCGATATTTACAGATGATACAACTATATAACAACCGGACCTTTTTTCTTTATGGTCAGACGTGAACACGCACAGACAAATGACGGAACTAGGCAATTTGCTGGCAAATCCACCCCGACATCTATAAAATATCAAAGGCTTACCATGATCAATTGGGCTGAGGCAACAACACTGTTTGGAGGACGGATTTTTTTTATAGCATTTTTAGCGGATTTTTCACTCATTAATGACATTTTGTTTAGATCTAACAAAAAAATGTTTTTCTTTATTTACGGACATGACGTAAACACGCACAGACAAATGACGAAAGTAGGCAATTTCTCAGCCCTGACATATAAATTATTATAGGCTTATTGTAAGGTTACCATAATGAATCAGGGTGAGACCAAAACATAATTGAATAATAATTTATGCATTTAGCAGACGCTTTTATCCAAAGCGACTTACAGTGCATTCAGGCTATACATTTTTTTACCAGTATGTGTGTTCCCTGGGAATCGAACCCACAACCTTTTTTGCGCTGCTAACACAATGCTCTACCACTGAGCCACAGGAACATGGCTTAGAAGACAAATTTTTAATGACAATTGTTAATTTCTAACAAAGTTTAGCAGTTTATTGCGGTTTTATTATTGATACATTCTATTATTTGAGTATTCATTATTTTTACGTTTTTTTTTGTTTGTTTTGTTTTTTTAAGTTAAGAGCCCCAAACGGTTTATTGCAACAAAAATGAAATATAGGATTTTTTTGTGTAGATACCATCTGGATTTTATTGATATTGGTTATAGATGACCATAACTCCCTTTCTAATGGATTTTTATGTCATCCTCTCCTGTTGTGAACCCCCCCCCACCCCACCCACCCCCAGCGAGATTTTGATGTGAAGATCTTTTATGCTTACAATTTATTTACTGCAATTTATTCAACCAAAAAATTACAATTTTTAAAATGTGTTTAATATATATTTATATATAATATATTTTTTTATGTATATTTAATATATTTAAAAAGCAATTTATTCCTGTGCTGATTTTAGCAGATTTGTTTGTCACATGATCCTTCAGAAATCATTTTAATATGCTGATTTGGTAGCATAAATTTCTTTACTGTCACTTTTGATCAATTTAATGCATTGTTGCTGAATCAAATAATTTTTGTTTTATTACGGACCCAATACTTTTGAACAGTATTCGAATACTGTATCCCTTAGCATAAATTACAGCAACATAAATTGCTGTGGAAGTTTATATCATCAAATCTAAGTTATGTTATAGCTTTACCACAACATACACAAAATGGTTTCTGTTCGCTTACACTTGTACATTCATGCAGCCATGTTTTATCAATGATTTGGATGCAAACTTTCACACAACATATTTCAGATGTAAATCCCTGTGTAAAATGGGTTTAAAGTAATCCTGGTATTATAAAGCCTGTAAATTTCAAGTTCAGTTTTACACACTGGCGCCTCTTCACATCATCAATGCACATACTGTATGGAATGGCCCTCAAACTTTGTGCAAAATGCATTTAACACAAGATCTGGTGGGCTGAAACTCAATGCATCTTCTAAAACAGTCAATAAAGATGAATTCTTTGCATCCAAGCTTTTCCCTTTCAATTTCATTTCTCATGCATATTGCATGATATCAGCTTATCAATCTACTCACTGCAATTCATTAATGTGTCAACTGATTAACAAATAACACTGAAAACACTCACTACATGAATTGAATTTTAACATTTTCAGAGCCTGGTCTGTTGCCTTTTGAAATAACGTGCAGCTCTGCAGTGTGTGTTTCTATGGCCGTCAGCACTGCGACATGCATGCACACACACACACACACACACTGCGCTGAACGTCTGCAGTCGGCCCATCTGCCCAGCAGAGCTGTTCAGCATCCAGGCTCCGATATTCAGATGAGGCCCGCGCAGATTAATAAATCATTAAGACGGTGCTGTCTATAACGGCCCCATTCACACGCTCTCCGGACACCATGTGTCTGCTGCGAGCCCGGCATTAGACATGCAAGAATGTTAATGTCGACACGCATTATAAGAAGCTTGTGAGGCGTCTGTCTGCACACTGGGCCTGTGCACATCTCGACATATTGTGTCTGAGAGAGAAGCCCCTCTCGTCTGGAGTAAGAAAACCCACTTTAATGTATCAAAGGACAGACGTACCGATAAATGTATAGAACGTGGCCTAAATTTGAAGCATTTTGTGCCTATTATTTTAAAACAAAACTCTGGTCTTTTAAAAATAAATAAATACAAATGTATTAAAATATAAATAAATGAAAAACAAATATAAATCTGATAATGATTTTAATAAGAGATACTATTATAGTTTAGTAATATTTTGAATCAGTTTTTTTGTTTTTGTTTTAACAGAATTAAAATGAGCTGAAATAAAAAGTTTGTTATATTGTATTAAAGTTTAAGTAACTTTGTGTTGTCTATATAGTTTTTATTCATTTTTATTTCAGATTTTGTTCTAGTTATTTTAGTACATAAAGTTGAACAAAATTAAATTGAAAAAATGTTGCCTCAGCAACTAGCTGAAATAAAAAAGTTCTTTATACATTATTTTATTTCGGTTAATGATTTTATTTCAAGAAAAAAATTTTTCACACGATTTTTCATTTTAGTTTTAGTTAACTAAATAAATTATCTATCTTTACGTGAACAATAGTTATAAATATATGCTAATTTAAAGAAAGTAATTGTACATACACAAGCTGTACAACAAAATACATTTACATCAGTGTTATAATAGTTAACAACCCTGATATAAATATATACGTTTTCTTATACAGCGTGTGTGTGCAATTTTTTTCTTTGAATTTTTTTTTTACATAAAAACATTAGCGCACAGGAAAAGACACCTGTTCTTCTTTTTTGTTCTCCTTTCTGGTCCATTCAAAGCGTTTTGTCTCCTGCTTAACCCAGCACTTTAAGTACACAGTGAGGGGGATGATTGCATCACAAAGGAAAGCACCAAGTCCATACCCCTATTTTGGTTTTGCAATTTGCATGCATTTGCATGATTTTATTATGCACATGCCTTTTGTTCCCTGGGTGGGAACCATGAAAAAAAATAATAAAAATGGAGCCCATGCAAATCCACCTCACACACAAAAATACACATTTGCGGTTGGATAGGAAGATTTTGATGAAAGCTGGGCTGCTAATATTTACACAGCGGTGCATGTTTAGCAACAATCAACAAATTAGCTGCTGAAAAAATTGGAATATATTTATTTGTGGATCGTTTTGTTGTTGCTTATTGATATTTGCATGCTGTTTTATTCTATTATTAATCCTATTTCTGTGCAAACACACACACAAACGCTTTGAGCTTCATGCAGACCCACCGTTTCGTAATTCTAATCTAAATATCACATCATTAGCATCTGCTATCACAGAGAACTTCAATGGGAGTCTAATGTAACAGTCCAATTCGACCGACTTGATTTGAAGAAATAGGTCAGGGGTTTAATGTTGCCTTTGGCCTGGTTTTCTAAACCACCCTGATTCAGACACACACACACACACTTCTTCTGGCCAAAGTAATTCTTGTAGTGCAACAAAGTCTTTTTTCGAACACGTCATTGGCATTAACACTGCAACATAGCATTACAATAATATTTAAAGCCTGTGAGCTTGAGTTTCCCACCTTCAACCCCTATACAACCACTCTTTCCACCAATATTATTTTATGTTTATTTTTCCACTCATGTTTTTGGTCATTTGCATGCATATCCTGATGCTTTTGGATTTGTATGCAGTGGGAAAACAAATGTCAGATGTGCTACGAGCATCTTGAGCAAACACGCACATGTGCATGTGTCTATGAATGGTCCGCAGAGGATGTTCACATCCCTTTTTCTGGCCTCTGGCTCTCCACTCACCTCATGTTGCATCAGCCTCATGAGGCAGCGCTGCCTCCACTTCCTCCTGCGGGCGACTCCGAGCTCCAGCTGCCTCTAACACACCGAGAAACACATAGACTTCACATTACACCCACAATAAAGGCACATACTATTCTGTTAGCTTTACCACATAATGGTGAGCTCAGTATCTCATATTTAGAGGTATATGTAATATCTAGAATTACATTTGCTATACATGTTTATCCAAAGCAACTTAAATTGGATCCAAAGAAAACATTTGATCAGTTCATGCATTCCTGGGGAATCGAACCCATGACCTACTGTTTGAGCTACATTTTAATTACGCCATACAGACTATTTTTTTAATGCCATTTTTGCAATATCTTTTAATGGACATTATTTGGTTGTAGTCAGAAAGAAAGAAATCTATTCATGCTCAAGCCACTGATGTGACTCTAAAATGATCAAAATTCCTCTGGTATCACTGTACTATGAAATGTTTTATATTGTTTTTATAGTGCATGAGTATCAGTGGCACCTATTATTGCATGAACATCTTAAATGTGTAAATTATTAACAGCGTTTCTCGTGTCTGCCATCTATCTGTACTCCTTTTGGTCATATTTCATGCATGCCACTGATGTGACTAAAAGTGAGCGAAATTCCTCTCTTTTGGTATCATCAAACTATGAAATATTGAGCATGTTTGTGCACTGTTCTGATATATATGCATTTAGGGTGAAATATGAAACTAGTGTTTAAGCTATAAAACACTTTTGTTTTCATTGTAGAAAAGCAAAAACTATTTCTTCATCCATGTGGTTTAAGTGGTTTATCTGTGCAACAAGACTGTATATAATGGTGAGCTCAATATCTCATATTCAGAGGTATGTATAATATCTAATTTACATGTAATGTCTAAATTTACATTTACCATACATTTTTATCCAAAGCAACTTTTTTTTTTTTTTTTTTTTTTTAATTTGTATTATTTGTATTTAATTCACTGGATCATCACAAATAGGCATTATCACATGGTTATATAATATTTAATTTTAAACAACTGTTTAACTAGTTTAGGTTTAGTATTTTATTATTATTTTTCAACAAGGATGCATCGAACTTATCAAAAGTGACAGACGTCTTTCACATTATTACAAAAAAAACAAATCTTCAAATGAATGCTGTTCTTTCAAACTTTCTATTCATCAAATAATCCTGAAAAAAAAAAAAAGATTTCCACAAACATACTAAGTTGCACAAATGTTTTCAACATTGATAATAATCAGAAATATATCTTGAGCAGCACATGAGCATATTAGAATGATTTCTGAAGGATCATGTGACACTGAAGACTGGAGTAATGATTCCTGGGGAAACGAACCCATGACCTACTGGTTGAGCTACCTTTTATTTACAACATTCAACAAGGCAATTTTAATGGAAACTTATGCAATAACTTTTAATGGACATTATTTGATTGTAGTCTAAAAGAAAGAATAAAGGCCACAAGCTAAATAAGATTTGTTTCACAAGTGCATAACTATCAGCGACACCTATAACTGCATGAATATCTTAAATCTGAATGAAAGATTCAACAGCGTTTCTCATGTCTGCCATCTATCTGTACTTCTTCGGTTCATATTTCATGCATGCCACTGATGTGACTCCAAAAGGAATCAAAATTCCTCTCTTTCACATCACTGTACTATGAAATGTTGAGCATATTTCAAATGTGTGCACCGTTAAGTAACGTGTACGCTAAAGAAGTCATAAAACAAAGATTTGTTTTCGCTGCAGAAACGCAGAACTAGGTCATCTTCATCCACATGCTCTTTATACTGTACATGCGACGCCGAATCAAAACACAAGATGCCAAATGTTCATCAAAAGCGGCTCTCCTGAGAATCTCCAGGCAGTGTGATTACCACCAATCATACGCCAGAGCTCAGGGTGCTAAACCAATGGAAATGGTGCTAATTAGAAAATTGGTATTCATGGTAATGGGCAGCCATTGTGCTGTGACATGCAAAGCGCGTGGCGTGTGTGTGTGTGTCAGCAGACATTTTGGGATTGCCCTCTCAGTCTCCACTGCCAAAGCCATAAGATGGTGGCAAACAGGAGGCATCGCTTCCATGGTGGACAATGACGTGTTTGGAGATGCCCGTGAACCGCTGACGGTTAATTAAAAGGGTCGTACTGTATGGAATATCATTTTTAGATTACGTCTTTTCAACATCACACAAATCAGTGCTTTTATTGCTTTTCCTGCAGTCAAAAAAGCTTTATTTTAATATTTGATTCTCAAATGAATCTTGGTTTTGTCAGAATACAGAAATATATAATAATTTAGTCAATTTGCAGTCAATTTCATGCTAGCAATAATTCCATGGTTAATTCTGTTGTATTCGGTCTTGCTATCCGTACATCTGTGTGTTTGCCCTCAACTGAAGGAAAAGCGGCTCCTCGTGTCTCTCCATCAAAATCCCAGTCTCTCAGCAAATTAGCAGTCTTGTTGTATTATTGAGCCGCCTCAACGTTTATGAAGTGCAAAGCCGCTATCAGCTGTTGTCGAAAATATGAGAAGATTTGTTCTAAATCAGAGATGGAAACACAATTACAGGATATCAGGATTTGCTCTCAGTATATTTGTAGCCCATTCATTCAAGAAAATCAGCTTGTTTTGCAGCTGATCTTTATTAACAGCTGATACGGTTCAGTATTAATATCCTTCAGCGTTGATAGATTATGCTCTCATTATAAATTGCTCTCAGAAGATCTAAGATAGTAATATCTCTGTGACTAAAGCACAGTAAGACGAGGTGATTCTCATTACACTTCTTGCAGCTATAGACACACTGGCACCTCCGGCTCATATAGATTCAGCTGGGCTCATCATCTCCATGGAAACCCCAATCAGCTCAAGAGCTCATCACACATGACAGATTTGCCAAAAGTGGGCGGGCACATCATAACTGAAGATTGATTAGCAGATATTCTTGTGCTCTACTAAATCATTTAGTTTCTTTATTTAGTTCAGGTGTTGAAATAGAAAGTGGTATAATTTTCAGTGATTATATTACTTTTTTTTTTTCATTGGAATATTATTTAACTAAGTAATTTAATGTCCTCACCACCCCAAAACAATGAATGACAATTAATAATAATAATAATAATAATAATAATAATAATAATAATAATAATAATAATAATAACAACAATAATAATACTAATAAATGAAATCTGGGTGATCTAATGAATGATTTGGATGATATATTTCAGATCACTTCTTTGAAATTGTATATTTTGTTCAGGCAACTGTTCTGATTAACCAAAGTGGCCCATTTCTGTTTTCTTTTCTTGTGAAGCAAACAGGTGTAAACATCTCTGAACACAAATACATTTTAATGCTTTTTTTTTCTTCCAAGTTCTATCCTTTTTGGTTCGAGTCCTTCTGTGACATCAAGTGGTGCCCCGTCTGACCTCTGATGTCCTCTGTCCCAAAGGAATCAAAGTTCAGTGGTCAGCATGTGCTTCATGGTCAAATTCAAGTTCAAGCTGACCATCAAAACCGATTCCATGTGCCAAAATACACAACACAGCAACAAATATGATGTGAAACAATATCAATATCATTGAGCAGCACCCAGAAACCCTAATGACTATATGTTCTATCAGAAGGGTTGCACTGGCACATAAGGAATTTGTCTAATAAAATATTTTATTGAAATTCAAAAAAAGGAAGCACAAAACACTGACACAAATAAAAAGTAACTTTTTAAATAAAATCCAAACAAAGAGTGGTGGTTTGCACTGGAAATTCTGGGAATTCCCCTTTCTGCATTAATAATGATTTATGAAGTGAATCAATCTTTTTAATTACAAAACATAATTTAAAAATACATTTAATATACATTTTCTTCAAAAACTATAAGGTAATTCATACCTTATATTAAAAAAAAAAAAAGGGATAAAACACCATACATTGTCTTTTAAAAGACAACTATACTGTACCAAATATGCTAAGAGATATATATATATATATATATATTCAATTTTTAATGAAATTTTTCAATGAAAATTGCTAAAATTTCTACAGTATTAAGGGAACTAAATGCCAATAATATAATATATACTATATTGTAATATATTAAAGTAATATAAAAGCAGGGATTATGTAGACGTTTCGATAATAGAAAATATCTTAAAAAAAAAAAGAAGAAGAGAAAGAGAAAAAAAAAAAGTCAGTCAACTGAATGTGAAAGAAAAACATGGTAACAACTTTTTGTCAACAATATATTTCTAATGTACAGCCAGCTGCTTAATGATGTGTGAGAGAGAGCCTCTAAATCAGTTGTCAGCTCTTGGGGCCTCTACGTCGGCCTAGTCGTTGATAGTTTATGAGTCGTGTGTGGATGTGTAAAAGTACAGCATCCCGTTCCACATTCCCGTCACACACACTCTCCAGCATCCTCCATTCACTCCATCTCCGCTGTTCCACCCTCCACAGAGATGCAGATGAGCAGAGCGCACTTGGGCCCCCCTCCCAGGGCTGTCTGTCATATTCTGCCCCAGACAAGACATTGCCCACTTGCCCTCGAGCGTGGGAATGGGGGTCCACGGGCGTTCACATCATCTCCCCCACGTGCGCTCGACCGCATCAATTAAGGATGAGTTTCTATGCCAATTCCTTCCTCCATCCCATTATGTCCCAATTATTTCATTTGAGGAGCTTGAATAAGTCCAGAGTCAACGATACTCGGACGCACGTGGGTTCCAATGACCTGACATTAACAACAACAAACTTACGCCTTTGTCTCCTATGTGCTTTGCATTCCTCCTTTCATCCAGAAGCTTTAATAATATAACGAACAGCCTGAAGCGTTTACATGTGCAACAATACATCTAACGCCGATATATTTAATGCTCCACGTTGAGATGCTGATAGAAGCGGTTCTTACTTTCGGTTATCTAGCTTTATGACGACCAGCACACTCATACAGCTAGATAACCAAAGATAACAACACGCCTCCAACGTGATGTGTCACACCACAACAAGCGCAAGAATCACACTTGCCCCAATTACTCCAAGTCAGCAGATGCGAGTAATTAGTTGCACGCAAAAAAAAAAAAAAGTTCATCCAAATGAGGTCGATCCCGTCCAACTGGGCTCCCGCGCGTAATTGTTGAACTTCTTAATTATTGACTCGAATGATTAAGGCAACCCTACAAGACGCGAGCCTGCTACATCCATCCATAGTAGCGAGGGTGCTTTTATTCCAGTCGGAGCTCGGCTTGGCTGGATTTACAGTGCAGTACGCATGAAATCCTGCGTATCCAGGCAAGAGAATAAACGGGCACGCAGCAAAAAACGCAAGGCATAAATACAGCATCGGGCACAGAGCGAGAGCTGGACAGTAAACACATGCGTGCTTGGGTTTGGGCTTCAAATATCACTCTCGCATCATGCGTAAAATGTGCGCAGGTTTGATCTGGAGGCATTTTCGCTCCTCTTGCTCGGGGTAACATCATGACGTCTTTATGGCCAGTAAACACAGGCGTGCTTGGGTTTGGGCTTCAAATATCACTCTCGCATCATGCGTAAAATGCGCGCAGGTTTGATCTGGAGGCATTTTCGCTCCTCTTGCTCGGGGTAACATCATGACGTCTTTATGGCACACGGATGACGTGCTCACGGATGACAGGACTGACGCACTCAATGGGCTCCATCTCTAGTGCCCAAAATGCGCACAAACCTCGTGAGGTCAGAGGTCTCGCCGGATTTAAATGTCCATTTGGAGACGCACGCGGCGACGCGCACCGGCTTGCCCCTTTTCTGCAGTGTGCAATTATGAATATAGACCAGGATCACAAATTTACCAGGGCTTGGGGTAAAAAAAAAAAAATAAAAATGCTAGCCTACATGAAATGACCCCACATATTTAAAAAAAATGTCAATTCTTCTGCTTTTCGAACATTTCATAGGACATTCTAAACTACTCGTTTTAGTAAACGAGAAATATTTGTACGCATAAAGGTAATAAATGCCATGAAATTCAGCTTCAGATGGCAAATATTGCTCAGTAATTTATGATACTGTTATAGACATCTTTTCCGTTCCAGTGGTTTAGTTTTAGGCACAAGAGTGCAACTTCTTGCTTGTTTGTACAACAAAGTTTTCACGGCATTATGAATTATAATTAATCATTACGCGTCTCTTAGATTTCAGAAATACTAACGTGATCTATTGCAACGTAAACAGGCCTGTTTCAATATTACTGAATATTATAAGCATTTTTGTTCTTTAGTTTGCCTCATTAGATTCGTTTCAGCAGCTGATTCCGGTTCAGTAATACAAGCATAAAAAATAACGCTAAATAAAATATCATCACTAGAAGGATGCACAAAATTACCTAACCATTATTTCACAACTAATTAAAGCAATATCTGTATGTAAATGCATCTAAATACATTTTCTCTTTGTACATATTTAATCTTAGTCCACACACAATCGACACATACAGACACACATATATAGGCTAAATGTTTTTCATACTCTATTAGAAAATATATACACCTATAAGAAAGATTTCCTTAGACATCTAAATGAGAAAAAATCAAGCAGCTGAATGAAGTAAATTAAAGCATCCACTTCTACTCACATGGATGCAAATTGTTTAGCTTGATTTAACAGGCTTCAGAACGACTCCGATGCACGTTCTTAAAATAACAAACATTTAGCAGCATCATTTTAAAGCATAATACCATTTTATCGGTTATCTTTCAGCAGCTCTTAATTTAACCACCCTGAAGCAATTAACCACTTAGTGTGTTCGGCGTGACGTCACACAGAGGACCATTAACACTTCTGTATCTGTTATGGTTTGCTGAACAGCCAGTGACTCGCAGGTCAACGAAGCATGCGTGTTAATAAAAGTAGAAAGATTTTCAGTTAGCCTTAGCCATGAGTGTTTTAAAAAGGTTTTTTTTTTTTTTTGAAATGACATAAGATAAGCCTATTATTTAATAAGCAAAACATTATGTTAGAACATAATAAAACGTTTTAAATTAGTTGATTTATCAACATTTTTCTTTTTTTTCTGACAAGGACACCCGAGATAACACAGGCCAAATATTTTAAAAATGATTCTTTTTCCTTTCATGGAAATCCACTATATTAAAGCTGCACGTGGCCTATTTTTGCCAAATTAGAAGCATGAGGTAGGCTACTTACATTCTCCTTGGACTCCCCATGGCACCGAAAACCCAATCATCTGGATGTGAAACGGATAAACGAACACCCTCGATTAGAAATCACATCCACGAAATCCTTCCACGACTCGTTTGCTGGAGATGCACTTGGCATCGTCGTTTGAAAGCATCTTATTCCATCCACAGGATGAGAAGGTGTGAGGGAAGAGCAGAACTTCATCACGTGACTGCTTGAGCGCGAGCGAATGGAAAGTGCGGCGCGAACCCTGCAAGTTTGGGGGGGTTTGGGTGGGGTTTGAGAGGGTGGGGGGCGATTTATGATCCACCCCTTCTACCTCTGCATTATACGTGCGATGGAATTAATGAGTTCTTGTTGCGCGAAGGTCTTAATGATATGACCAGGTGTGACTTACCTGAATATGATCTGTGTTTCCAACATGTCTTTCAAGCGTAGCCTATCTACTGACATTTTCTACCATTTGGGAACAATTATAAATTTCCCACTTACGGAGAGTAGCGTTTTTCTTCGAATTACGTTATGGTTGTCTTTCTGTCGTTATTAATTGATCTGGTTTTGAGACTCGTTTGATGCAGGACTGAGGGGGTCACGTTCAATGACGTCGTCTTGTTTATTACGTGCAGCCGCATTTAGACACGCCGAGGAAATTAGTGATGCTCAATATGCAAATCAAGCCATAATGACTACAACATTCAGACGAAGCAATGTCTCGTGTGAAACCCGTCATTTTCTAGGAAGGATGTTGGTCTACGGATGTTAATGCCGTTGGAAGAAGGAAATGAACGCCTGTAATAATCTTTGTTTTTGTCACCAGGCAGAACAGCGGCCGGCTTCAGGAGCTCATCTGTAGCCCATTCTTTGAGAATTTCAAAGCCCCTCAAAGTGTTTTGTTGTTCTTTTCTCTTCAGCAGGTGAGTATTTTGAGTTGTTTGTTGGAATATTCAATTTTTAGTTTTTAATTGTGGTTTATTTCTCACGGAAATCAAAAGGAATTTCGTCTTGACTGAACAGTTTAGTTTTTAGGAGAACAGTCGAGTTTTATTAAACACATTCGTCAGACAATTTTCATTGCAACCAGATAGCATAATTTGAGAGTAGATTTATGAATGAACAAATAAGAAATAAACTCGTAGACTGGTATTCTAAATAAACTAACACTATTCCCAAACCTATACATTTCATATGAAACGGCAGTGGTCCGAGTGGAAATGAATCCTGCAGCTGCAGGCGTCAGATGTCTTGAGTTCATGCGGATCGGGGACACAAGAGCAAATCGCAAACATCTTTTATGTTTCCCATAATGCAAAATGGTAATTATTGATAACATTGATCAAAATAAAATGATTCTTTTGTGTCTGAAAACAAAATATTTTTAGGAATGTCTTTAAAATAAAATATAAAAATCTGTTGCCTATTTAATATGTAAAAACTACGACCGTATAGATTGAGTGTTTTTTGTTTTCTTATATAGGCTAGGCTATTTATATTTTCAGTACGTTCATAAACATAAAAGAGAAGGACAAATAGCAGAACAACGACACACACACACACTGTCATGATGGTTTTGTTCAGATTAAAATATAAAAATACAGTGAAAATGTCTTCTTTAAAACGTAGAACGTGAGAGATCCGCTATTTGCAGAGGTAAAGACTTTTGTAGACATTGATAAAGCCGAAAAATAATTTTGGATGCGAAGTCTGTGTGTTTAGCCTATAGACATTTATTCTTATTTTATTATTTTTATTTAAAAGGCATTTCTTATTAGTTCATGTATTTTAGAACATGTTATACATTACTTGAGCTTTCTGACAGGAACCATTACGCCTATGGAGAGTCTCTACAAGGATAGCTGACCAGACGTGTGTGTGTGTGTGTGTGTGTGTGTGTGTGTGTGTGTGTGTGTGTGTGTATTTTGTTAACCTGTTTCACAACATATGTGAAAACAGATAAACAAATGATTTACTGTAAATACTAATCAAAATCCAGAAGTCTACATGTAAAGTCCATAACCTGACCAAGTAAAGACACAACCAAAAGAAAACAAAAATTCTGCACAATTGCACAAAAGCAACAAATAATACATTAGAATGATTTCTGAAGGATCACGTGACACTAATGCTAAAAATTCAGCTTTGCATCACAGGAATAAATTACATTTTTCAATATATTCAAATAGAAACCAGTTATTTTAACTTGTAAAAATATTTAACAATATTACCGTTTTTACTGTATTTTTGATCAAATAGATGCAGCCTTGGTGAGAATAAGAGGCATATGCAACATCCATAACCTGACGAATTAAAGAAACGAGCAATCAAAAAAAAAAAGTTTAGAAAGCCTGATGTGAAATTGTTTATATGGCTTTATTTTTGGGGCTCACACTGCTTTACCTTTCTGTTCAACATCGGCAAAGCTTGAAATCACATTCTGACTCATGTGGTCAACAGGTAGCAACAAATGCTCAGCTTTACTGTATTTTTGATCAAATAGATGCAGCCTTGGTGAGAATAAGAGGCATATGCAACATCCATAACCTGACGAATTAAAGAAACGAGCAATCAAAAAAAAAAGTTTAGAAAGCCTGATGTGAAATTGTTTATATGGCTTTATTTTTGGGGCTCACACTGCTTTACCTTTCTGTTCAACATCGGCAAAGCTTGAAATCACATTCTGACTCATGTGGTCAACAGGTAGCAACAAATGCTCTGCGTTTTTATGAAAATATAAGCAAAATGTATTGTGCATCTCTTCCACCGGGGATAGGCAATACATGGCCCGGAGAACTTTAACGTTGTTAACATGGCTCTGAAATATCAACAACATCTACAAGAGAATTTGTGTATTTGGAACACTTCCCGATTCCATTTAGAACTCTAAACGGCGTACATTCCTCAGCCCCGGGCCCATGCTATAGTCTTCAAATGGTGCGTGATGGCTTTCTCTCTCACTCCGTTAATCGTAAAGAAACCTGCAAATCCTGGCAGGCTCATTTACCCAAAAGCCTCACTGTTCTCTATTTACATAAATACGTTGAACCTGCAACACAACAACGTCTGTGATAACATACATTTGCAAGTGAGCAGTGACGGTGAGCGTAAAGTCTGTACGGGAATATTACTTGTACGAGCCCTGAGACACGTCAATGCCTCTATTAATAGTTTAATTACGCATAATATATTACTGAAACTAAAACGTAGCTTTATCAAACAAGAGTACCAGACTTCTCTTTTTAATCCTGTATGCTTGTATACACTGCATAAACTGCATGTATCATTTTTTTTTGTCTTTTGCAGTTTTCCCCACACGTGGCACAAGCGATGCATGTCCCATGCCCCCGACCCCAAATCACAAACACACCCACCCGCCCCGTTTATCATATATATATCAATTTGAATACTTGATGTAGCACTCGCACTCCGCAGAAACAAATATAATAATACTAAAGTGAAATCGTTGCATAGAAAAATCGTCCGCGATCACGAGGCCCAGCCCTCGGACAGACGCATGCGCTTGACAGACGGGCTCTGCCGCTTGTCCGGAGAGGGTCTCAGCAGTCCCATGGGCGAGTGGAAGTCGACGCGGTGCTCCTCGCGGTCGCTGCCCTCGTACGAGCTGCCGCAGCTGCTCAGGCTGTCGACCGGAGAGCGGCCCGCATCCTGCCGCAGCTGACCCTGCTGAGACGCCGGCTGCTGCTGCTGGGGTGGAGGCTGGGCGTAGCCGCCCGGGGCCCGGTCTCGGGGAGGAGACACGGGTTCGGACTTGATGTGCAGGCTCTGATTGGACGGCAGTGAGAGGGTGGAGCTCTGACATAGCGGCGTGCTGGTGCAGTTCCTGCGGCCGGAGAGGAAAGACACAGTTAGAGGCCGAGGAAAATAATGCAACTGCAAAGATTGATGAATTTCCAACTATTTCTTAGAGATTAATCCAAACTATTTCTTTTCTAAGGCCCATGTTTTAATGCGCCTTCCACACTTTTCAAACAGTAAAGTCCAGTGAGCTACATTTTTTGGATTTAATCCAAATATTTTTAGGAGAAATTGTATTATCAGCAAAATGATTTAAGTAAATAATGAAATAATAAACTGAAATAGTGAATTTGAGTTTGTATTATATTATATTAGTTTCACATTTTTAATTCAAAATGTTGCATTGTAATAAAAATAAAATCCCATATTCCCAGCAAAACCGAAATGAAAAAATTAACATGGATTTGAGAATGTATATATTATATTATATACTAGTTTGACATTTTATTTAAACATTTTGCAAACCAATTAAAAATAAAAACCCAGATTCCCCACAAAATAAAGTGAAAAGTTGAACTGAAAAAAATTAACATGTATTTGAGATTATATTATATATTAGTTTGACATTTTATTTAAAAATATAATATAATTAACATAAAACCCAAGTTTTCAGCAAAACCATTTAAGTGAAAAGTTAAATTAACATGAAAATTAAGTTGTGAGTCATGAGAATGTATAATGTTCTGCTATATTAGTTCTGCGACATTATTACAATTTTTGCTTTGTAATAAAAATAAAATCTCAGATTCCCAGCAAAACAATTTAAGTGAAAAGCTGAACTGAAAATATGAACATGAATTTAAGATTATTCTTATTTTATATTACATTAGTTTGACATTTTTATTAAAAAATTGAATAAATTAATAACACATTTTGAATTTGAATAAACTACATTATGATATGAGGCACTGCACATGCCCACAGTGATTTTTCTGTGGTTATAGTGAGCGTTACAGCTGATATCCAGAGTGTTTTGGGTGCATGGGTCAGGATCACCCTGCTCACCCTAGATGTCCAAGACCAGAATGCTGCATGTTTTGTGGCCAGCCGGTCATCGAACCCAGATGAAGAGAAGCCGAGCTGTTAAAGCCGCTCAGAGAGGACAGGTCTCCACTGCTGAGAGAATATTCTAGAGAGAAAAGAGAGAAAGATCTCTGTTCAACTCACTGCATATAGACTGCTTTCAATCTTCAAGGTTACTGCAACAGGAAGATGCTCAAAGAACATTTAGTCAATGGCGCCACCTGGTGGTGTATTCAAGACTCTTCAAATAACGGAGCAATATATAAACCGTTCATGTAAAAAAACCACAGTAGTAAAAAAGTAAACAAAATGTACATAATAAAATATAAAATAAAAATCTACACTACGATTCAAAACTTTGGGGTAGTACATTTTTTTCTTCAAAAGTGACATTTATAATGTTACAAAATACTTGTATTTCAGAATTCTGATTCTGTATCTCACAACAAGCAGCAGAACTGTTTTTAACACTGATGATAATAGCAAATCAGCGTATTAAAATTATTTCTGAAGGATCATGTGACACTGAAGACTGGAGTAATGATGCTGAAAATTCAGCTTTGCATCACAGGAATAAAAAATTACATTTGTAAATAAATAACATTTTTTAAAAAACAGTATTAAATTGTAACGATATTTCACAATATTACTGTTTTTACAGCATTAATAAATGCATCCAAACTACTGAACGGTAGTGTATAGTAAAGTAAATATTGTGATTCACTACAAAACTCTGGCATTTGTGAATTATCTGTTTTTATTATATTATATTATATTATATTATATTATATTATATTGTGTTGTATTATCTGAATTGTCCTCAGCTCTTACCTGTACCGTATGAGGTAGAGATGGCTGATGGGTAGCCGCCCATTCCCTGTCCTGGCAG